TTAGCATTTCGTACTTACATTCTGCATTGCTTTTCTCAGCTATGGGTTTATGTATGCTTCCCATCAAACGTTGACAACCTGGAGGTGGCAGGGATTCCCATGACCCCATATTCATTGGTGTTCGAGGGCCCGCACCGGCCGAGACCTCGAGAGACCCTCCTTTACCTGCGACAGTACTTTGACACTGTGCGACATTCAGAGGTACCTCAGAACTTTCAGTTCCTTTCATTTTCATCTTTGATTTGCTCTGTACATTCTCGATTTCTGATTGGTTTATGCATTTATCATCCGCAGATCATATGGCAGCCCTGGGTGTCCCTGGGTGATGGTCTCCGACTTCAGTATACCGGAGCGTCGGACATCTCCCAGTATAGGGTCCTGCTTGAAGGGCCGGTTGGCAGGGCATGGTTCCTGGGGGAACGCTTTCTGCGCCAGGTATGGGGGTATCTTTCTCAGGATCCTCCCGCAGTACCTCCAGCCAGTATGCGGACTGCTGACAGACTCTCTTACTCGGAGGTAGTCGGCGCCATGCTGGGCAGTGAAGCTTTACTATATGTTGAGGAGGGGACTACGCCACTTACCGTCACATATATTTGATGGCTCCATTGACGGGAGCTCATATCCCGATGATGAGGCCTGCCGGTATGTCATCCTCGGGCCAGGCTCGGGCTCGGGCTCGGGCTGCAGACGCCCCTTCTACTAGTAGGGCTGGTACATCTAGAGATGGGAGTAGACCGGTTCCTCTAACTCCGTCGGCTTATCCTCATCCTGGATGGCCAGATATGCCCACTGAGTTGATGGCGTGGCAGTATGGGGCTATCTCCCCGACTCCGATTCCGCTAGAGCCTCCGATGCCCAGTGATCGATACGCCATTGATCCTGACTCACCGCTGGTATGCTCCACTGTTTATTCAGATGTTTAGACACTCTTCTGTTCATTGATGATTATGAGCTCATTTTTGCAGCCATCGCGAGGGTACATGGAGGAGGTGGTTGGACTGGTGGCCACACTCGAGGGCATGGTCCTGCGTAGGGAGGCACAGTTGTCTGTCGCGGGCATTCAGGTACCTTTCAGTTTTCTGGCATTTATCATACTTCTGATGACATGCTGATTTCTACTGCATCGATAGACTACTTGTGTAGAGCACATCTGACACACGCCCCACTTGTACATTGCATTTACATGCACCCACTTCACGTAGCCTTTACTTGTATCTGCATCTGATGTATATATTTGAACTGATGTATTTGAATTGAACTTCTTGTTTTCAGATGCCTTCATGGTCCGGTCAGCCGCAGACCAGGCCACCTGGGCCTCCTTGGGGAGCTGGGCCATCTGGGCCTTTTCAGGGAGTTGGGTCACCCGGGCCTTTTCAGGGGGCGGGGCCATCTCGGCCTTCCCGAGGAGCCGGGCCATCTAGGCCTTTTCGAGGAGCTCGAGGAGGGTCTGTCCGCAGACGCAGGGCTCACGTTGTAGAGGTGGAGCCTGATGAGGAGGAGGAGGATGCTGAGGAGGAGGAGGAGGAGGCTACCGACCGTCAGTCAGAGACATCTGCTGAGGAGGGGGGCTCCGGTTTTGGCTCGGGGAATAGAGGCGAGGCTGAGGGGGATCCTGAGGATGACAGCTCCGACCCAGATGATGATGATGGCGCAGAGGTTGTTCCGCAGAAGAGGATGAGGAGTGCTTCTCATTCCCGCTCCCGAGGACATTGATGCCGCTGTTTCCTGCTTTATTTTTCTTTTTGCCAGTAGTTTGTAGCACTTTGCACATTGTTAGGCAGTTTTATTTTTTGTAAAATTTGTACCTTTGTTTGTTGTAAAGCATGATGGAATGAAATAACTTTTGAAAAGATTGTCTGTATTTTAAACTTTAGCATCGTATCGCATCATTTTATTTTGCACAAAAATGAAATTGAATGGGAATGCGCATTGTGTAATCACCAAGTCAGGTAGTGAACCGACGCAACAAACTAAACAACTCAACTTACTAAGATATAACAGAACCTTAGGAAGTTTACAACTCGATAAGCAAAATGCAACAGCGTTGACAACGCAGATAAACAAGACTTTAACAAAGATTGCTTGAACAGAGCGCAATGACTCAAAAACACGAAACACGTCCGCTCGACAAACAACTCGATAAGCAAAACAACAACTCGATAATCAAAACAACAACTCGATGAACAAAACTCAGCAATAACAGAGTGTACTTCGGACGATCTGGGCACCGGAACGCATCCGAAACAGAGGGAGATGAAGGCCTTTGACTCTCCCGTTGCATGGAAATGCTTGAAACTTCCCCTCGAAGAAGTAAAACAGGGCCAAGGAGATACACTGCAGCATTGCCGGCCACCTTTGGGGGCCGGCCGACCAATTTTGTGGAGAGAGACAGCTGGCCGGCCATTTTTGTAAAAAGTAAATGGCTGGCCAGCCAGAAAAGGTGACCGGCCGGCCAGCTATTCCTGCAGCCTCCTGGTTTTTGACACGTGTCCCCGTGAATAGTGTTTTTCCTTCTATAAAAGCCTCAACTTCGGGAACATTCATTTCATCTTAGTTTTAGACAAAGATGGAGGCGTTTCTCGCGGAAAATCTCACATCTTGGATCTCTTCTCTAGATGGCTCGGAAAAACTGAACTTCCGGGGTTTTGGCTTGAATGCACTATTCACGCTGAGCCGTACTCCGCTACAGCTCCCTTTTCTTCATGCTGCGGCAAGGTTCTGGAATCCAGTGACGCATGTTTTTAGCTTTGGCGGCCAAGAGATGTGTCCCACTTTCGAAGATTTTCAGGTTTTGATGGAGTCTGAATGCTCTGAAGTGATCTTGCCCCAGCTCCGTTTTGGCCATGCTCAGGCTTTAGGGCGGATGTGTGGGCTCACGGCGCATGACACTTGATCTTTGATCTGCAGTGGGGAATTGGACATCCTTGGCTTGATCCATCGTTTTTCCGATGCCGGTGACCGCAGCAACCATCATTGGCAGGGTTATCGGCGACATGTGTTTTGTTTGTGCATGTTATCCCATTTCTTACTTGCTTCAGGCTTCAGTGGGTTTAGCACTCGTTTGATCGAAGTTGCCGAGGGCTTGAAAGAGGGAAAAAGCTGTATCGCCATGACGCTAGCCAAAACATTGATAGGTTTAGACACTTTTCATCATCGGGAGACGACTAGGTTTGCAGGGAGTCCACTACTATTACAGGTAATGTTTCCTACCCCATCTCACATATATATTGCTCACATCACTGGCCCATAGGCTCGGTTTTTCTCTCAAAACCCTTTTCACACTTTTTCTCTCAACGTACACCTCTCTATTCTTTAATCTCTCAATTTTCATCCCTCCCCAGGTATGGTTGATGGACAAACTGAGAGTGGTGGAATCATGCCCATTGTATTCAGCTCGCGGCTATTTCTTCCGACAATGTCTAGTTGATGCCCGGGATAAGGGATGGTGGTACAATTGGATGTGCAATTTGTCTGCTTTCGACATCGCCTGGTGCTGCCCCTGGCTTAATTTACCGGCAATGAGCTACAGCATGACTCACCAACTCGGGATTCAGTTGATTGGCTTGACACACTGTGTATTTTACTTTTCGTTCTGGATCCAGTGCCAGTTCGGCCATGATCAGACTTGTCCGGAGGAGGGGATAGAGTACCCTGCTACATTTTCGATCCAAGGCGCACAACTAGCTTGGTATGCCACGGCATGGAGGACAAGAGAACTTCTGGCCCCCGCTCCCACTTTTAACAGCACCCTCTCTGATGAGTGCATAGATTGGCTCAATGAAGAGGCACAGGTAGGGCCCACTTTGGCGTCAGAGGCTTCCACAAGCTCTGGAAGGGGACGCAGGAACACCTGATTATGCCTCCGGATTTATTTGCTTTAATCAGAACTTTCAAGTTTTCTTTATGAATGTAATGAAAAGCAGCTTCAATTTGTATTCAAGAGTAGGAGAACTCTATATTGAAATCAAGGTAATTGAAGGCTGTGGGTACTGAAAATTTTCCGTTTGGTCCAAAAATGGTCTAAGTTGTAAAAAGATTAATTTGAGCAAAATTAACTTTTATTAAAACTTTTCAAAACTATTTTCGATATGGATCAGAACTGGACATGCCTAAGATTTATCACTGAGATGTACAACCCCGGATCCCAACGACTGGAAAGTTTCCCCTAGTCTAAATAACACTGTACCGGAGATCATAACTGAGCTCCTGAATGCAGAATAGACAAAGATGACCAAACATGATCACACGGA